TTGGGAATCATATATCAATGTACCAGGAGGGTGGCATGTCCTGAGGACATTTTGGGGCTTCCCAGACCTCACCATATGCATCTCTTCATTTGACTGGCCCTAATATATAAAAATCATACATTTTAATATATTAGATATATAGATCTTTACATTATAATAAATATAAAGGATTGTAACAAAATGGCCATCGTTAAGAACAGCTCTTTTCCGAGTTCTGTGAGTCATTCTTGGGAATTATCAAACCTGAGGAGGTACCGGGAACCTCCTAACCTGTAGCTAGTTGGTCTGGGGCTTGGGACCTCCAGAGCCTGCAGCTGGTGTCTGAAGTCTTGACTGCCCTGAGCCTGTGAAACTTGACCTAACTCTGGATAGTGTCAGAATTGCATTTCACAACCAAATCTACAGTAAAATGGAAAAATCAATTGTTTTATATTCATACACCAGAATACCAAATTACAATGAGAATAAATAAATTATAATTATATACACCAACATGGATGAATCTCACAAATACCATGTTTAGCAAAAGATGCCCAGGCACCAAAAGGGTACATATCATATAATTCTATTACTCACAGTTCGATAACGAGCATATCTTATTGTGCGGTACTAGAAGTCAGGAGAGAGTACTTAGGAGTGAGTAGGAATTAGAAGGCAGCACAAAGAAACTTCTGGGGCACAGTAATGCTCTGTTTCTTGATCTGGGGGCAGGTTACACGGGTGTGTTCACTTTGTGAACATTTAAGCTGTATACTTACAATGTGTGCAGCTTTCTGTATATAGATTATACTTCAGTGACGTTTGCATTAAAAACAAAGCCAATGCCTGCCTTGGTATATCCTCAGAGATGATAAAGTCTGGATAGGAATCGTCCTCTGATCTCGGTTCTAATTTGGCATTTGGAAGTTTTCATTATATTAAATATTATTTTCCAGCACACATGAAAGAAATGTAAACGTCATTGTAATTTGACACTGAATTAGATGGAGATGTGTGTCTCCAAAAAACCTACTGGAATAGTTTCTGAAATATACTGAGACAAAAAATTAGAGGTTTCATAAAGATGTGATATATACAATTTAGAATTCATATAGAAAATGTAAAACATAAACGTCTAACCACCTTTCCTTTCTTCCTCAGAAATGTCATGAATTTTCTGGTTCACGAACTCAGCATAGGACGCGGCATACCACACCTGCAAGAAGCAAGTATATCATCAAGAACTGGGGACATCACCAGATGTTCCTCGCATGCTTACATTATTTCTCCTGCTTCCAGGAAACAATTCAGGCTTTTCCACAGCCCATTAACAAAGGAAAAAAAGATCACGCTGTGAGCTCCCCTTGCAATACCTTTCCAGCACATCAGTCAGGGAGTTCATTTGCCAAGACATACTGCCTGTTTTTTCTTTTTCTTTTTCAGAAAATAGTTACTGTTACTAGAATAACTTCACAGGAATTATAATCATAGTCTCTTCAACTAAATAAAACAGCCTCCTCTGATTTCTTATCTATATTTAAACACTGGTTTTTACAGGGTTGTAGTTACAGTGGTTGCCACCAAACACCCCTTACTGGAGTCACCAATGACAACTTCAAAGGCAACCACCTTCTCCCGCCCACCCACTGGCTACTTCCGATCACTCTGCCTCTTTTTTTTCTCCCTAACTTCTACATATTGGTGTGGCTCAAAGCTTAGTTTGAGTGTACGGCCTTCTTATTTTGACTTCAGGTGGCCACTTTCATTTCCAACCAACTCTATGCTAATGACTCCCAGATTAATATCTCCATCCCAGACCCTCTTTCTCTGTTCCCTCTGAGTGTGTCTGACTGGATGTTTTGGATGTCTCACAAACAGATGAAACTTAGCATGTCCAGAATGGAATTCTCAATGCTTTCCAAGTCACGCCCCCACCCATCTTCCCCATCTTGATGAATACCTTCCACCCAGCTGCTCAGACTTGAAACCAAAGGTGCCTTTGATTTCTCTGCTTGCTTCCATATGCCTTTAGCAAGGACTGCCGCTCCCTCAGGTGTTCTCCATCCCTACTTTTGCCACCCTGATGCATGCCAAGACCATTTCTTGCCTGGATGATCACTTGGCCTTCTGACTGGCCTCTCCTTTTCTCTGCAATCTACACAGTAGCCAGAGTGGTCTCAAATCCCAGTTACCCCAGTTGGATCATTACACATCATATACAGGCATCAAAATATCACATGTATCCCAAAAATATGTACAACTAATATGTATCAATAAAAAGAACACACAATCAGATCTTGTCATGCAGGCAATGGCTTCTCATCTCATAGTAAACCTGAAATACTTGATAATCTCCAAAGGGCTCCACAATCTCCCCAACCTGGAAAAGCAACCTCAGCCCTTGTCAGTCCCCCTGACCCACGCTTCAGTCAACAGGGCCTGTTTTCAGCTGCTCAAACATGCCCAAGTCCTTCACCACCCCAAGCATTCAGCCCTGCTGTTTCACCCTCACCCCTGCCATAACCCTCTGTAGTGCTGGCCCCATTCCATAGTTCTCAGCCTCAGCAGTGCCTCGTCAGCAAGGCCTTCCCTAACCATCACATCAAAATCGGTCCCTTCTTGTTACCTGCTCTTTCTGCACCATCTGTTTCCTTCATGGAACTTACCCCATGAGTTATTTGC